GAAAGATTACAAAAGATATGATCTCTCCAACATCTAATTTGCAAGTGTAAGCTTAAAATTTTTGAAAGGATTTGCAAATTTAAACTCAAATCTTGTTTGTAGATCTTCTAATATATGTCTTCCAACCTCAGAAATGCATTCACTAGCCTTATTTATCCTTTCCAAGTTAGAACTAGCCATTTGAAGATGTTGTAGTACATTAAATGTACTAAAATGTCTGTTACACGACGTTTAGATTTCTTATCTAAAGTCGGCTATAATCCTTTATAGTTGATTTCAAGACATTTTTTTGTAATTTTTCACAATTTTTCAATTTGAAATTCCAATATTCAATGGTCACCAAATTGTGCTTATAGTTGACTCCAACTTCCTATAGCTTATTGGCATTCTTGTAAAGTAATTGTCAGGTTTTTAAGTGCATTTTGTTGTATGTATAGCCAACTATGGCTTTCTAAAGTTGACTTTGTTCCTTTTATAGTCAACTTTATACTAGAACCATAAATTCATTTTGAGTTCTCAAATTCCAAAATTCAATGTTATTCTTTAGTCAACTTTGGTCATGTAAAGTTGACTCTATTGCTCTTATAGTCGACTTTGGTCCTCATCAGGGAACTCGATGGCCGAGTTGTGAATAATTTAAATTTAATGGGGATTTGGCCTATCATTTTTCATTATAGTCAACTTTAACCTTCTAAAGTTGACTCTTCATGAATTTTTTCTTCAATAGTTGATTCTGTTTTCCTTTAATTAATGATATGTTGGATTATTCATGGTTTTATCTCTTTTAAGTTGCTTTTGATACTTAAGCAAATTAAAATATGTTATACACTTACAGAATACTCATCATCATCAAATAGTTAGATTGCTCTTTTGCAATAAAAAAAAAAATTCCACTTAATTAGATTGTATTTTGAATTGGTCTCCCACAATGCTTTTTAACCAATAATATTATCAAGAAAAATAATTTTATTGTTATAATTAATTGATTTTGATTAACTTTTTTTATTTCAATAATTATAGTATAGTTCATTTAGTAATTATTCAATATAACAATATTGACTAAATCTTAAGGCATATAATGGTTGCGGCTCAAACTTCTCTCAGAAGTAATTGAAAAGATTAAGATAGTTTCAATCAACAATGAAGCAGAGATGGCTCAAATTGGTATATAATGTGAGTATTAACGAATCTCTTAGGAATAGTATTTCTATATATATAGTAGAGTTATTAGTTGGTAAGGATTGTTGTTAGGGTAAAGATTGTTGTTAGCGTAAGTATCTATTCTTTCCAAGAAGCTAGCATAGAAGTTGAGAATGTTCAATAACTCATGATGCTCACAGTCACAATGACTTTTTTTCAATATTAATAGTTATAATTCATTTCCCTATAACAATCGCTAATATCATTCCTAAGTATATATAACTCTCTATACTTAATTTATTTATATTCATCATGAGCATAGTTTAAGCTTGTACATATCTAGTGTTATTTGATATGCTCCTACTTTGGCTATACATGCCATAATATAGGGATTCATATTTAAATTTAATTCAATTCTATTTATTTTAATACAATCTTTACTTTCTCTCTCTCTCTCTCTCTCTCTCT